TTCTCTCTTGTCTCTGCTCCAAACCATCAGCTACTTTGCTAAGGTTCTGTCCTTTCAGCCTCCTTCTGGACGGGAGCTTCTGTAAAAAGCTGGCTGCAGTTCACCATCTTGGCTCTGCCCCCCCACTTTTCTTCTTTATTCACCTATGAAACCAGCAAAATAAGACCTGAAACATATAGGTATTAGGGTGTAGGGGAGTCTCAGAAAAACTTGCCCTTTTCTCCTAGGTTGGTTCCCTGAAAAGATCAACTCATAATTACATTAGATTAATAAGAGAAAGGCTTATTTCCAAATACCATGCACATGGGGGGAAGCATGAGAATGATTTCCCAAAGTTTCAGTGATAGTGGTTTTTAAAGATGCCTTTTAGAAGGGAGGGGAGAGAGAAACTGGAAAGTATACCTGCAGCAAGTGGTTGCTAAGGAGGATGGGTAGATGGAGGGAAAACAGATTGATTCATGAATTAACCCAAGAGACATGTATTGTGTTTCAAATGACCTGATCACAGTCTATTAGCGTGTGATAAGGAGTCTAGCAGCCCTTTAAGATAGAGGAAAGTATGCCTTCAAAGTTCCCTGATTATGAATAGCCTTTAATTCAAAATTATCTTTATACCAAGGAATCATATTTAGGGGTGTAATTTTTCTTAGCTCCTTCAGGGCCTCAAATGAAATAATGTGAATTGAAACATTTTACAGTAACTAACTTCTTGCTTTCAGTATGTACAAATTGTGTGTACAGAAAAGAAAGGTACTGTAGCACCCTCTGCTGGGAATTGTTGGTAAATTAACTTGGAAAGAATGCTTTGAAGGGTGGACTAGGTGCCAGTGTTGCTGGTGTCAGTGCACAGCTTCCCAAAGGGAGGACATTGAAAGTGAGCATAGTGATATTCAGCAATGAATAGTGCTTTTTCTAGGATGAGTTTGCAAACTTAATTGTCCCACCCTATGATCTATTACTAGAAAAACTAGTTCAGAAAATTTCTCTATAGGCAGCTCTTACATGGAATGAAAGAGGAAAATTAGAAGGATATTTCTAGTTTCCATAATTCACCTTGGGGAAGAGGAACTCTAAGTTTCTATGGCCAACTGTGGGGGAGAAAAAGGGAGTAGGAGATTAAGAGGACAAGAGAAGGTCACATAGAGACTTTGCTTCTGAGGCCCTTTCAGTGTTCTTAAGTTACCAGTACTCAGCACATCAAAGTACCAAACTTCAGAATATCTTTTCTGAGCTCCAACAAATTTAAGCATGCTAGTGTAGCTCTAACCCCAAACTATGCTCACTCTTTTGCCCTGGGACAGCTTAGTACTCTCAATCCATGAGTATGAATAGATTTGACCTGAAACAGACAAAAATATTAAATAATTGTACAAGGTAAAATGCAAAAATAAGTTAATGCTATTCTTACCTATTAAATTAGCATATATTAGAGAAATAGAAAAGATAATGTTTGAGAGTTTAAAGTTAAATGAGAATTGGCACTATTAAGGGGGGTTATATCAACAACATGGTGAGGGAAAAGGCCTCACAAACACATCAATTCAGTAACAATTCATGGGTAAATTCTCTATTTTTTGCAGAATAAAAAAAACTAATTGAAAGTTTCCTGCACCTCAAGAACAAAACCACACTCATCAAAGCTGATAGGGAAACTCGGACACCCCTCTTCACCCAGGGGTGAAATGTTGATTTGTGCATCCAGTACTCCAAGTTTTCCAAGGGGGCTCCCTCGAAAGTTAGCTTCTTTCTTGCTATACTTGGAGCTCTGAAGTTTCCAGCACAGCTCAGCTACCAGGGAGAGAGCAGGGGTGTTGGCTTGGGCTGACAGATTCCATGAATCCTTCCCTTTCCTCACCTCAGGTTTCCCTTGAGGAAGAGAAAAGGTAATACATGTGTCTAGTACTTCAACTTCACTGGAGCTTCTCAACAAATGGGCATCTACCTCACCCGTCCTGTTCTGATGACTCCAGCACATAGTAGGCATATGGGAAAAAGTGAAGGTTTGATGTGGTAGATGCCATAGTGCCTCTTCCGGTCTTATCTCAGCAATGAGTGAGCAGACAAAATCACAGTGGCTTTCTTCTTTTTGTGGAAAGAAGGAAGGAGGGAAGGGAGGGAGGGAGGGAGGAAGGGAGGGAAGGAATGAAAGAATGAAAGGAAGGAAAGTAGGCCAATTTTAAACTATTACAATACATTCAAACTCATTCATTTCCCTTCTCTGTAAGGGGTATATTAGAAGAGGTATAGCTAATCATTGTTATTATTTCTTAATGAAAATGTATGGGTTTCCTCTGATTTTTGAAAAACAAAATTATTTTTACACAAACTGCAAGTTGATATATTCTTAACAAGTAGCAATGAAACACAACTTTATTTACAAATGTGAAATAATAGAAGGTATCATCCCACTGCGTAGAGCTAACCAAAGAGAAAAGAATGCTAAAGTTACACTTTAAAAAAAGCATAATAATCTATGTCCCAAATATGAAATGAGTTAAACTATTTATGACATAAATAATAAAGTTAGATACTAACATTACACCTGATTTCTTATACTTTTCTGAGATAGACAAAAGGTGGAGGAACTTATTAAGGTATCATCTCTGAAATGTTGTAGAGGTCATGGATTACCATTTTAAAAAGTTATAATCTTACCGTATCCTGTAGCAGAAGGTGTATTTTTAAATTTACACACCAAAATACAACAGAAATTAAGATGGAGGAGGAATATAGGTTTCTATGTCATGAACTAAAAGCTATTATCATACTAACACTTATCTGCTTTTTTAAAAAAAAATGAAAATTGTTTTAGAGTAGTTTTAGGATTATGGAAAAATTGAGTGGCAAGTCCAGAGTTCTGTTCTGCCTCTTTTTCCTCCCACAAAACTTCTCCTATTAACACCTGTTATTAGTGTAATACAGTTTTATACTTGAACAAAATTTGATACATTTTTATTAACGAAAGTCCATAGTTTAGGGTTCGCCCTTTGTGTTGTATATTCTGTGGGTCTGACAAGTGCATAACAGCACGTATCCTCCCTCCATCACAGCATCACGCAGGACGACTTCACTGCCTAAAAATCCCCGTGCTCTATCTATTCACCCTCCACCCAACTCCCAGCCACACCAGTTTAGGAGTCCGGCCAGGGTCTGGTCTCCACTTGGTTCCCCTGAATCCCGGGCCCTGCCCCAGAATGGAGACACGGGAGAAGGACAGTGTTTGGGTCCTTGTCACAGGACAAAAGGTCCACCACGCCCCAGACTGGAGCTGGAGCCCGGCGCCTTCTTACTGAGCATGGGAAGGAAGGTAATGGGACCCCGGGAGCCGGCAGGTCTCCGAGCCTGCCCTGCTCAGCAGCGGCGGAGGGAACAGAGTTGAAACCATAGTGGGTGGCTCGTGCTCCTGCAGGCCCACGACCTTAAGTCGTGGTGCCATCCCACTTCAAGAGCAGAGAAAAACTTTTTCTTAAAAGAAAAGTAGCCTCTCTTCTCAGCCGCTCTTTTGGGAGGGTCAGAGGCTTGGGGCTGGAGGGGGTGGGGGGGGTGGGGCGGGGGATTGGGCGGGGACAGGATGGGCTCCAGGGCCCCAGTGGCTTCCCTGAAGGCGCGGCTGTCGGCGCTTCTCAGCCTTTTCTACCGCACTCACAGATTGGGGGTGAAAGAAAAGCGTCACTTGCGGAACAGAAAAACGCGGAAGAAGAAGGCAGCTCCTCCGCGAGTGGCTGAGAGAGGCACCAAGGCAGGGCCTTCCAGGCGGGATCTGTCCATACCAGGCCCGCAGGCAGACAGATCTGCCCAGATGCCTCCCCAGAAGTCGCGTGCGTGTGACCTGCTTGCTTCATCCGTTTGCAGAACGTTCCAGTGGCTCAAGTTTACAGAACTTTAGAGGGTGCCAGTGGGGAATTCTGAACTCACCTTTTGATCTGTGGCTCACTTAAATAAAAAATAAAATGGTCCCAGTGTTCTGGTTCCCAGCCACTCTCTTGCCATCGGAAGATAAATGTATCAAATTACAAGTGTGACTGTTACCAAGCTAAAGCAAGTGATCATATTGCAGTATTTTACAGGACAGAACTACATTTTCTGAAGTCTAGATGTTTTAGAAGACCCTTTACTGTAAAAGAATGTTAGTATAACATTACATAACAAAAAACCAGGGCATTAGATTTTTATAAAAGCATCTGTACTTAGGAAAGTAATATTGATACTTTTGTGAATGTCATCAATCTACTATTGTATCAGAAAATGGCTGTTGGGGAAGAGAATTTTTATCTCACCTTTCTGAGACACTTTCTGTTAGCGGTTAGTAATAGAAGGTCCAGCATTTGAAGCATGAACTCCAAGAATGGACTTGAGAAGTTTAAAACTTACAATATCGAAAAAAAAGGGGAAGGTCATAAGAATAATTTTTACAAAGGAAGCATGCTGTTATAGTTCATGTCCAGCTTCTTCCACCTCTATTCCATCCTACAAGCATGACCACACTAAATCTGAAAGTACAGTCCTGATTATTGATGCCCCTACTGGGCAACTACCTGTCATGGGTCCCCTGTGGCTATATCATGGCCAGTTACTATCTTTACCTTTATAACATCACTGCTCCCAATTTTTAAACTTCCTTTCTTGATGCACTCTGATTCTCAGCACAGGCTTCCTTTAAGTAGCATCACTATCATTGGAGGAAGGACCTCTTTGAAAATGTAAAAGCTCAAATTCTGCCCTGGAGATCTTGCTTTAATTACCCTGTTGTACATTAGATTTGTTTTGTAAAAGTCTCCTGGTGACTCACATATGTAGGCAAGGTAGAGATTCACTGTTCTGCCTCATTCCATATGGCTGAAATAACTTAATTTCACCTTCATCTGTTGAAATCCTGCTCTTTGTTTAAAGTTCAGTAAAAGTGTCATCACTCTTGTAAAGTTTTTTTTCCAAAGAAAAAGACTCCCTGCCCCCCAACTTGGGCCATAGGTAGTGCAGCTGCAAGTTCATTGCAGGTCAAGTTGGCTTCATCCTATCATCTTTGATCCTTCTAAAGGCTCCCCTGTTTTATTTATTCTCTATAGAATCCCATTTTCGTATCCCCCATAAGCATCCATTCTAAAACGTTTAATGTGTACTGTTTTATTTTTAAAACAGGGTTTGGTTTTTATTCAAATATATTTATTTAGTAAATATTTTTATTTAAAAGAGGGAACAATTACTAAAATGTCTCTCAAGTTTATACTGGATTATCACAGAGTTAGCACTATCTATACAACCACCATCCTAATCATGAAATAAAATATTACCAGCTGACTGGGTGCCAAGCCTCAGTGGTTAGGGCAGAGGTCACATATTCCAGGGCTGGTAGGTTTGAACCTGGCCTGGACCTGCCAAACAAACCAGCAAAAAATAGCCAGGCATTGTGGTGGATGCCTATAGTCCCAGCTACTAGGGAGGCTGAAGCAAGAGAATCTCTTGAGCCCAAGAGTTTAAGGTTGCTGTGAACTATAATGCTACAGGACTCTACCAAGAACAACAAAGTGAGACTCCATCTCAATAAAAAAAAAAAAAAGAAAGAAAGAAAGAAAGAAAAAAAAAGAGTAAAAAATAAAATATTACCAGCAATGTCCATCCTTTCATGGGCCTTGCCAATCACTTTTCTCTTCTTGTTTCACAAAAGAATCCTATTTCTTTACTTCACAAACTACTTTGTTTTTGAACTTTATATAAATGAAATAGTTCAAGATGCATTTTATGATATCCGAGTTCTTATACTGAAAATTATGTTTTGAGATGTTGTTGCCTGTGGTAGGAATTTGTTTATGCTTATTTCTGTATAATATCCTCCACCATATCAATACTCCACAATGTGTTTCCATTCTACTATTAATGGGCATTTGAGTTTCCATGTTGGATACTACAAATAATGCTGTTATGATAATCTTGTATGTGCCTTTTAGTATGCATATATTTTTTGTGGGGGTGAAAATATTTTTATGAATAGAATTACTAGATTATGATTTAGTTATGTTCAGCTTTAATAGTAATGTCATAGAGTGTTATAAAGCTGTTATAAATATTTACTCTCCTACCAGCAGTGTGTAAGAGTTTCAGTTGTACCCTACACCCCTAAAAAGTGCATACTTTTTCATTTTAGCCATTGTAAGGGATATTTGGTGATTCTGTAGGCTGCAAGGCAGACAAACAATCATTCAAAGTTCACTGATACACACGTCATCTCACAGTGTTAATGCTCTCAATTTCCTTCCTGATCTACTTCACACTGCTCCTCTAAGCTAGAAGGTCATGGCTTCCGAGACTTCTGTGAAAATGCTTCTGACAGATCTTACATTCAGAGATTGCATGGAGGAAGGAGAGTCTGGTAATGCAGTTGATAAAATCTGAAAAAGTACATTAGCATCTCATAGTCAGTCTCTGTAGAAAGAATGTGTATAGGTGGAAGAATTGTGCAATTTTTCGTCATTTCTTGTATTACTATGTATGTTACTTAAGTATTTCTGAGACAGGAGACATGAACAGGGAATTAGATGAAGAAAAGGATGAAGAAAAAAATGTTCTTTGTGTTTCTATTTTATCCTCTATGTTCCCAGGTCTCTGGCAACTTGCACTCTGGCAAGTCACAGTAGGATATTAAATGGCATGTCCTTTATATGCCAGAGTGGTGACAAACTCAACTCCAATAGCCTTTTGGAGTTTGTTTTATAGATCATTTGTCTATAAAATTTTAAAAAGACATGGGGATTTGAGGGTGAGGGTGAGAAGCAGAACCTGATCACCAGCAAGTCCTTTAGCATTCCAGTTATGGCAAGTTTGGTAAGAAAGAAACAAAATAAAGAGTATGTTTATTTATATTCAGTCCTGCAGAAAGAATCCCTTTTATTGACCCTCTTTCTTCTGCCTTTTGAAAAACTTTTATTTCAGTTCTTTTTTTTTTCTCTTTCCTTTATCCTTCCTCCTCAATTTTATTTATTTATTTTTGTCTGGGGGGAAGGATATTGGATTTCTTGGAAAACAGCATTTATATTTAACATAAAAAGGAAGTTTATAAAGAATGTTAATGTCTTTCAGCTAATCCTGGTACTTACAAAACTAAATTTTTGACCAGTAAGAATGGTGCACAATGTAATTATAAAACTTGTTTTTATTTTTAAAAAACAGCATCCTGCTTTTGTAAGTTAGGTAAGTTTTTTGGATCCCAAAACTGAGTTAAAATTTTACCAGTAATATAGTTTATTTATTTGTTCTTCTGAAAAATAATTCCTAATTTTTTTTCCAACTAGAATTTTGAAGGGCATGTGTTCAGTGTGTACCCTTAAAAGAGATAGGTATTGAACTTGATCTTAGCCAAAAGGCTAAGAATTGATTGGGAAACAAGAAAGGGAAACAGTTAAGAAAGGTAGAAGAGCAATAAGCAAGAGAAAGAAAGGGAGCAGGGACACTAGTGGGAGGATGTAGAGACAGGGAAAACCCAGAGAAAGTAAGGACTTTTAAAGAGTACTAAGAGAGGCAAATGGGAGATTTGGGGGTGAAATTTAAGTGGAGATTTACATATTACTCTAGTAACAATGGAAAAGTCATAGAAATCATAACATACTGAGTTCCAAAGACATTTTAGCTTTAATGTTGAACCAGAAAGAATGAAGTTTGACATTTTTATAAGGAACCCAAACCCTAATGACATTAGATATTATTTAAAACTATCCAATACTATATAGATTTTTCCTTGTCTCAATTTAAGCTGAGGCTCCCTGTTATTCTTAAAGAGCTGTGTTTTGTGAGTGAAATGTAGTGGTTGAAAAGAAATCGTCAGGAATCTTTTTTAAAGTGTAATTTACATTCAGTAAATTTCTCTTTGGTGTACATTTCTATAGGCTTTTGACCAACACATATAGTTATGTGACCACCATCAAAACCAAGATATAGAACTGTATTTTCCCTCCCCCCCTAAATTGCTTCATGCCCTTTCTCTGTTCTTGGCAACCAGTGATCTGTTTTCTGTTCTTACACTTTTGCTTTTCCAGAATACTACATAAGTGGACTCCTGCAGTAAACTGTAGTTCACTTTGTAATAATGCATGAGAATCATCCACAGTGTAGTAGGTACTAATAGTTTATCAAAGTCCAGAGTTGGGTAAGTGAAGATTTTATTCAGTCCTGCTGCAATAAGAATAACACTCTGACTTCAAAAATAGTCAGACATCTCAAAATCAAACAGAAACTTGCTTTTGTTTTAGGAAGAAGTTAAAAGGGTTAGCAAACAACTTGTGGGTGAGAGAGTGTGGTGCAGAGAAGAGCAGGTGGCGATGTCTAAGAATTCAACAGAATCCTTTGCCCTTTGTAGTTAGATCCTGCAAATAAACTTAATATGGGCTCTTTGTGCTTGTTAGTGCTTTAAAACTTGTTGAAATTTGTGGACAAGCCACAGTTGTAAGTGCTCGTGGGGAGCAAAGAAGTATGATGCAAGTTCGGCCAGACAAAGCCTAGTGAGGGATACCTTACTGTGACTGTGTGGTCAGTGTTTTGATTTTTCTTTTTTCAGTGCTGAATAGTCATTTGCCTCTTTATTACTAGCTGAAGCAAATTTGAACTGTTACCAGGGGCCTGTGTGTGTGAGAGAGAGAGAAGGAATAAAGGAGGTGTAAATATTCATGTATAGGTTTTTGTGTAAACACAAGTTTTCATTTTCATTGTGTAATCCCTAGGCACTGGATGGCCAGGGCATATGGTAAATTTGTGTTTACTGTTACAAACTGCTAAACTGTTTCCAAAAGTATCTATACCATTTGCACTTCCAAAAGCATTGTGTGGAAATTTCAGTTGCATCATTTCCTCACCAAGCACTTGGTTCTGTTACTTTGTTTTATTTTGTTTACTAATGTAGTGAGCACATAGTAGGAGCTCATTGTGGTTGTGATTTGTGTTTCCGAAATGGCTGCTAATATGGAGCATATTTTTATGTTTTTACTTCCAAATCATGTATTCTCTTTAGTCAAGTATATGTTTAAATCTTTGGCTCAATTTTAATCTAGTTTTGTTGTTGCTGAGTTTTGAATTCTTAATATATTCTAAATAACTAGCCCTTTTTTAGGTATATGATTTGTAAATATGCAACCATGGATACGAACTGGCTTCAACCGGCTTGTCAGTTATCTGAGTCCCCTCACATGAACTTTGGCTGATTCCAATATCCTGTTGCATATGGTTTTAAAAGTTCTCCATCCTTGATATTGCCATGAAGTTCCCTAACATATAAAATATAAAACCATATAAAATATAAAAATAGGAGGGAACTCAATTCTAGGAATTACCAGCCAATTTTTACTAAATTCTTAGCAAAAGGTACCCCTTTAGCCTTGAATACTCTTCCCCTCAATTAGTGAGACTTAAAAAAGCCAAGAACCTTCTTCTTTTGGGAAGCTGCTCTTTTTGAGCTTGGCTGCTGATACTTACATGTTTAGATTTGTTTTTGAAATTTCTTTTTTGTTCTACTGATTTGTCTACACTTTTGTCAATACCACACTGTCTTTATTTCTATTACTTTATAAATTATGAAATCAAGTTCTGTGATTTCAGTTTTGTTTTTTTTTTTTTGGAGGGGTCATACTTTTCCACCCTTGGTACAGTGCTGTGGCATCATAACTTGCAGCAACCTCAGACCCTTGTGCTCAAGTGATCCTCTTGTCTCAGCCTCCCAAGTCCCTGGGACTACGGACACAAGTCACAATGTCCAGCACCTTTTAGAGATGGGGATCTTCTCTTGCTCAGGCTGGTCTCAAACTCCTGACCTCAGGAGATCTACCCACCTTGGCCTCCCAGTATGCTAGGATTACAGGAGTGAGTCACCATGCCTAGCTGATTACAAAATTTTGACTTTTTTTTCAAAATCATTTTGGTTATTACAGTTCTTTTGTTTTTCCATGTAATTTTAAAATCACCTTGTTTGTTTCTACAAAAAAAAAATCATGTACTGTTTTCATCAGAATTACACTGAATCTATGAACTTGTTTGGGAATAATTGACATATTAACAGAAGATTCCTATTCATGAACATCGTGTGTCTCTCTATTGATTTAGCTCTTCTTTGATTTCTTTGTTTCTTTTGTTGATAGTTTTCATCATACTGATTCTGAACATATCTTGACAGATTTATAATTATATTTTTTAAAATTTTCAAATTCTATTTTCTTCTGAACAAGTAATTTATTTACATGGTTGAGAAATGAAACTTATATAAAATAGTACATATTTGAGGTATTGTTACACTTGTTCGTGTAATGACAAGTTACATTTTCTTACCTATTACTTATAGTTTCTTGTATACCTTTCTGGTAGTTCATTATGCAAGTGCAAAATTATATTCCTATTTTCAGCCCCTTTATTTTATGCCATATTAGATCACTCTTCTGCATTTTTTTTAATCACTTAACAATATATCCCAGAATCATTATGAAGTTGTGGGGTCTCGGTTCTATGGATATTGCCTAATGAACACATACAATGTAACTTAACTGTATGCATCCTTATATTAATCTGAAATTTTTTATTTTTTTTGAGACAGAGCCTCAAGCTGTCCCCCTGGGTAGAGTACCATGGCATCCCAGCTCACAGCAACCTCCAACTCCTGGGCTCAAGCGAGTCTCTTGCCTCAGCCTCCCAAGTAGCTGGGACCACAGGCGCCTGCCACAATACCTGGCTATTTTTTTGGTTGCAGTCGTCATTGTTGTTTGGTGGGCCCGGGCTGGATTCGAACTAGCCACCTCAGGTGTATGTGGCTGGCACCTTAGCCACTTGAGCCACAGGCACCCAGCCTATTCTGAAATTTTTTTAAAAAGAAAGGAAATAAATAAACAGTCTAGGAAAATATGGAAGGTCCATCCATGGGGGCCAGTGTTGCTTTTGCTCTATTTGAAAACTGGCATGTCATTTTTCTCATGATAAGATTAGCTGTGTGGACCAATCCTGAGGTCCCCAAGGCATGTACACAGTCATTCCCAGCTGAAGTCTTGCTACACCGCCCCTCCCCTGCTTGATAACTTCCATATTCGTGGGGATTTTGGTCCTTACACTTCCTAGTTTAATATTTTTTGATGTTACTATAATTGGTACTATTTTTATCTTTTAATTTCTACTTGAGAATTGCTAGTTCATGGAAATACAATCAATTTTTATATGTTAACATTGTATTATACAGCTTTGCTAATAACCTCCTTTATTCTAGTAGCCTCCTGGTAGATTCTTTAGAATTTTATATGCAGATAACCATATTGTCTATGAATAGAAACACTTTTATTCCTTTCCAATCTGTATGGCATTTAATTGTTTTTTCTTGCCTTATTTCCCCTGTTGGGACCTCCAGTAAAGTGCTAAATTGGATAGGTGAGAGCAGACATTCTTGCTTTTTCCTGGTCACTGGGGGAAAGTGTTCATTCTTCCACCATTAAGTATGATGGTAGCCGTTGTTTCTCTGTAGATGCCCATTCAGGTTGAGGAAGGTCCTTCTAATTTGTCAGAGTTGTTATTGTGTATGAGTAAATATTAAAATTGCACATGCTTTTGCTGCATTTGTTAAGATGTTCATAGTTTTTTCTTCGCTTAATCTTTTCTGTTAATATGGTGAATAACATTGATTTATTTTCCAGTGTTTTCCTTAGTATTTTAACCAGGTTTATGGTTATTAAGTAGGAGGTAACTCTGAATTATTTATGGTTCTTTTTCATCCTGATTTCTACTTTTTTTTTTTTTAAAAAAAAAGAACTGTATCATAACTATGAAATTCCCTGGGTGGAAATTTAGTTTTCAGTAAGTCTAGTTTATTTGGTCATGACTGTCATTATAGACCAGGACCTTATGTGAAAGAGGTTGGCAATTGGAGAGTTGAAGTACAGCTGAGTTTAGAGTTGATTCTATGATCAATTTAATTTTCCGTCCCTAAGATCTTCATGAGATTGAGATTCTGATATTTGTATTTTATAGGTAAAGATCTCCAAAGAAAATGTCTGGCAGTTCTATCTCCTTTAACACTTGCCAAGGTTTCTTGTTACCTTTTCATCATTGCAGTCTCGACTGCAGGTGTGGTTGCACTTTCTACTGTTCTGTCAGGTAAGTTACTTTGTCTCCAATTTGTACAATATTCTAAACACATTTACATGGTCAGTATTTTTGGAGCTCCATTTTATTCCAGGCACTGTGTGAAATGCTTGAGGTACATCACTGAATAAAACACAAAAAATCCCTGCTTTTGGGGAATTTATACTCTAGCAAGAAGACACAGGTAATAATAAATACAGGTAGAGGGGGAACAGGTTACAATAGGGTGGCTAATGTATGCACCTGGGCATACACATAATAGTTGTTTACTAACGTTAAGTCATGTCTTCCTTAAATGTGCTAAACAATGCTGAAGACCTATTGTCCCTATGTTTGATGTTAGAAGATACAAATCTGTAAGGTCAGGGGATATGCCTGAAAATATTTCAATTGAAAGCCTCACTTGGCTCGGCGCCTATAGCTCAACCGGCTAAGGCACCAGCCACGTACACCTAAGGTGGCGGGTTCGAATCCCCAGCCTGGACCGCCAAACAACAATGACGGCTGCAACCAAAAAATAGCTGGGCGTTGTG